CAGAGTGGAGGGGGAACAAATGTTTGACTAAAGCAATTTCTTTACCAGAAGAAAAACGTGGAGCATCTTTGAAATGCGTCTCATGTCTGCAACCCTAATTATACGAGGAAAGACGGATCAAAGGATGAATCGGCTTCATTATTGTAAACTCTGGAGGTGTTTAATTGAAAGGTATTAGAAGAATCCCAGTATCTGTTTGGCAGTAATAAGTAGGTACACAGTGATACCTAATTATGTACACTGAATTGTTGTAGAAGCTAGCATGCTAAAGAGACTGAAATAAACACGGAGCATTCTCTAATTGGAGGAACAGCACAAAGTGAGCAGATTTACTTTCAGCTTTGAGTAATTTATGCTAAATTTCAGAGTTATTCTATTGCACAGCTGACTTTGAAGCTGACAAAGAGCCACTTGTCTGAAACGTCTCCTCCTTTTGTTGTCTTGTGTTCTCATCTTGACCCGGTCGCCTCTGAAAACAAGCTTCAATTGTCGTACAATGACACTGCATGCAAAGCAAATCAAATGAGGATAAAAGCAAGTCTTTAAAAAAAAATGAGTGAGCACTTGTAGAGATGCAAATAGTCCCTGGAAAAAGCATTGGGTACAATGGAGTATTTCTCTCTCAGTAATTGGACAGATACATGGGAAACTTTGAAGCTTACCTCGGAGTGTTTCTGGTGTGGTTGCTAAGCTAATTAGTGGTAAACAAGCAGATGGTAACTGCTTCTCTGATTCTCTTAAGTTGTTTTAGGTCAGTCTAAAGATGCAGCTTTCGGGCTCAGACATTTTTTAGGGTGTTTTATCCAACACATTGAGATTTTTGTCTTAGTCCAAGTTTCCTGTCTTCAATGGTACAATTCACCCTTCATCTCGACTAATAACAATTTGATGATTAATAGCTTATGAGAGTAAAATGAGTTCGATAAACTAATAACGTCCGCTTAGACTTTCCTTTAGCGCTGTAGTTTGACCGCCATCCAGCAGAGGGGGCTGCTGGGGGGCTACCCCTCCATCTTTAATATGTAATTAAAGATGGAAGGGTATTTAATACAGCTAACACAAAGTCCAGTTTAAATGTAATGTTTTTTTGTTTTTTTATTCAGCATATTTTTAAAAATTTAGTCCTTTATGTGAAAAACGGTCGTCCCCCTTGATAAAAAAGAAAACACGTTTTTTAAGAAAATGGCCTCTTTGCAATTAATTGTCAGTCGATGGAAAAAATGAGACAAAAAAATCTACTATCTTTACATGAAGGATGTATCTGGTGGATATTTCACTCTACCTAGCAAAACTGTTACTAGGAATAAAGCTTTAAAAATAAATGTCTCGCATTTGGTTACAAGGGACTCAAAGCTCAGCCTTTATGCAACGCTGCCACTGACTGTTGTCAAACTTTATTAGGAGTACTCCCACCTACAAGTGCAAAAAAAGTGTCATGTCTGGAGCATCGCAGCTGCTGAACCAAAGAAAATCTTGTGTCTGTCTCTGAGAAACTGCCAGCGACAATAAAACGGCAAATGTGTTGTCACACTTCACCTGACATGTCTAATCTCCTCATTTTGTCCATTTGTCTTTCAAATGTCCGACTACGCTCCATGTTCTGCAGTTGTGTACTAAACTCTAATGAGGTAAAATCCCGGATGAGCTCAGAAGCAGCAGTGATTTGGGTCCTAATCCCGGCATGTAGTACAGCTCCAGCATACAAAAGGCATAAATTGGACTTAAAATACCTTTTTGATGAAGATCAGCAGCTGCAGATGGTTTATTGAATATTTTCTTATCTTTAGATGCTCAGATGTTGAAAATATACCCTGAGAGTGACTGCCGAACCATGAAATCCAGTGTTACAGCCATGAAAGCTGCTGGTTTTGAAACCCTCCTTCACAAATGCCGACTCTGAGGAAAGGCCTACCTACTCGTCCGGACAAAGAGAAAAAAGGTGGATTTGATTTGCCGTTTGTTTCCTCCACGCCCATCAAAAAATAAACATTTGTATTTCGGTCTGCGGAGATGTCAGGGGGGATTTACGCGGCCCCCCGTTTGTGTCGGTGGCCTATTTAATGCTACACTGCACACCCCTCAAAAAGGTGGAATAAACGCATGGCTCTTCATGTAGAAAGCCATATTGCAGGCTATCAAATAGTGAACTGTACCAGATTTAGATTCCTGGATGGGCCAAGATGTCGATTTGAGTCATATTTCTGCTCTGACATACCTGAAATTAGATCCACTCAGAAAGCGCAATGGGTATTTTCTTCTTTTTATTTTTTATAGGAACGGGGCCCAAGACTCTGCTCCTCCAATCAGAGCAGAGCAGTTTTAGGTATTTTGGTGTCTTTTTTGTGAGATGGACGGGCAGATTTGGGTTTTCTCTGCAGTAGTGAAGACGCTGCTCTGGTCTGTCTCGGTGAAGAAGAAACTGAGCTTAAAAGGCAGATTTCTCAAATTGAGGTGCTTGATCTAAGATCAAAACTCCCATTTTTACTGTCTGACATTAAATCAGAACTTTACTGCTTCAGAATAGGTAAGATTAACAAAATCATGCATATTTGCTTGATGCCAGAAGAATTATTGAGAAAATGTAGCAAAATATAGCAAATGTCATTATGGCCAAACATTTAAAATTTGAGTTTCTATCATTCGTGGGGACGTATTTCCAAGATAAGGTTTGGTAAGCCATAATTTAACTTTTTATGCTGCTTTCAGAGCTGTGGCTTCTTCCTCTCAGAGCGGTCCTTCAGTCCACGTTTCACTCGTCCTTTGCTTTGTTGATTTAAATGTCTCACGTCAAAACAATCCCTGGATTGCTGAACATTTCCATCGTATTTTCTTCCTGAATATAATTGTTTACACAGATGAATGAAACCTCTTCAGAATATGGCAACTGCACGCAATAAAGATCCACAATTCTTTGAGATAAAACCATAAATGTATGCACATATTTGTCTCTGGTTATCTCAAAAGTTGTGAATCAGAAGCCATGACATAATTATCTGGGTTCTAGATAGGAATATTAATCTAAGCTCTTAATCTTCTGGCATTTGAACACAGAGCGTTTAGTCTGATTTACTGTCAAACGACGAGAAAAAGTGACTGCATCTTTTTCTCCTCTATTTCTAAAAAGCTCCAAGCAGCTTTTTTTTTTCTTTACCTTCTGATATCAGCTGTCATTTTTTAAGGCAGCAGATTGAATCCATCACAAGCTCAGCAAAGCTCCTCTCAGGGAGGATTCCAGGGATTTTCTGTTGCTTCCAGCTACATGAGCGGGTCTGCAGAACACCGACATCCAGCACAGGAAACACGAGAGTGGGAGTGAAGGTTATAAAGTGAAATTTTTCTATTGTTACGGTGAAGAATGTGCTCTAATCAAGACAAAGCCGGAGAAGCACAAAGCTCTGCAAATGCTAATGGTAATTAATGTCCATTACTACATCTGAGAAGGTATGCAGCACCAAACATCCATGAAGTAACGGGAAAAAATCAAGAAATAAATAAATGACTGACATTTAAAGCGGAGGCAATTATTGGCAACACTCAACCTCGTGTTTGCGTTTTTCCCCCGAAGTGAATGAAAGAAAACACAGTGCTTCTGCAAAGAGTCACTCACAAGCAACTTAACAATTTTCACAGCGAACGGAGAGAAAACGCCATAAGAAACAGACAGATGACGAGTTTGGCATTTTCAAACAAAAACTGCTTTTCACGCGACACGGATAAAATGTGCAAGAGCGGAAGACGAAACTTGCTGTTAAACCGACGCCACACTGTCTTTTAAAGTCAAAATATCCTTGTTCTGACTCTTTATCTGATATCAGAGACAATATGAGTCATTCAGAAAAACGGTATGGAGTGTGGAAAAGCTAAAGCTAGCCACTTTCTTACAGTCTGAAATATTATTTCCAATATGTACTTTTATTTTATTTATTGACCAGCTGTAATCAGAAATCTCAACACCAAAAAGGTTCAGTAGAAGATTCAGGTTAGTGTATTTAAGAAAGTATAATTTAAATACGCATTAAATTTCAACTTGTTCATCCAAATATTGTTGAAAACTGTTGAAATTGCCAGTAAAGCCCTTCAAAGAAGAGTCCAAATAAATTATAAAACCCCTAAATAATGTTATTCTAATAGGTTGAAATATTACAAGATTTTTATTAACTCTAGGCTTATAAATCTTACATTGCTTTACATGCTTACATTAAGTTTTGTACCAGATTTAAATGTACTGAACTTCCAGTAAGTTAAAGTCCATTTTGTTGCAATTCAAACGAAGCCTTTCGGTCATGTTGCTTGTTTAACGGTTCAAGGCCTTTGAAAACTGCCGCCAACGAAGACAAAGCAGCAAACAGCTTCATGTAAACAGGAACCTGTCAGTGAAGATTTCACGGCTTTCATAAGGAAGATTATTGTTATAAATAAGAAAGAGTAGATGTGATATCAAGAAGGCTTTTTATGTTTTATTTCTGACTGGATAGCATTACGTTTTAACTCTCAGCTTCAGCTGAAAGCACAGACATGAATAAAGTAATTTCATCTCAGAGTCTTTAAAGGACATTTAATCTTAACAGTACATTCAAACAGCCTTGAGAGTGAAAGTATTATGTCTGAGATTAAACTGATTTAGCTTCCTAAAGTTTTTCAGCGTTAGACTTTACTCAGAGTTGAACCAAACACAATTCAACCTTTATTTGGTTGGCGTGGATGGAGAAGTGCCGGACAATAGTTTAGCAAAATGAGAAGAAAACAGCTTTTTGGATTGAGGAAGGAGGATCAAGAGACAGCAGGTAGCAGAGGAGACTTATTGATGATTTATCCCCAGGGATCCCAATGGTGATCGATGAAGTGAAGATGGAGCAGCAGAAGGAGATTCTGCACAAGGAAAGTCCTCAAAAATCTAAAAAGTCCTGCATGGATTAGCATTCAGGCTGGAAACCAGCACCATGGGGTTTCAGAGACAATGGTAAGATAAGAAATGTTAAAAAACACACACAAGCAACTGCTAAGTCTTTCTGTCCCAAACCTTTATTAGTTTGTATGTACTTTGTCATATAGATAAGATCAGAGAATATTGCTGCTTTTTAAGTTTTAACTCTGTAACACTGACTGAAAAAATAAAGAATTAAAAGAACGAATTAATATATTGAACAAAATACAGGACAATGCTTTAATAAATCCTGTTAGAGGCTGCAAAAAACTTGAAACTGGGACAGAAGTTCACCTTCCAGCAGGCCAAAAAGTATAAACGTCCTGCTCGAGCTTTAATGGGGAAGCTTAGAACAAATCTGCTTTAATTTGAATATATTATATTTAATCTGTGGCTTGAAAACTGGTGTTCAAAGATCCTGTCTGTCTCTGACAGTGTCATACCTAAAAAAACGGTAGCAGTACAGTCATTGCAAAAAAAAAAAAGGTGGATCTAAAAAGCTCAGGGGAGCTAAATTTAAATGCACTCCACACTTTTCAGATTTTTTAAAAATAAAATAAATTGTTGTAACATATCAAAAACCCAACAGATTCAAGTGGTAAGGATATGTTTCCAAATTTCATGCTGAACCTACTTGTTGTATTTTAGTTTTCGACCAGTAAAGAAGCAAAAAACATTTTTTTATAATTGTTAATAAGGAAATAAAATATTTTTCTGTAGGACTGTTCTTTGAAGCCCCCAAAAAATAAAAAATAAAGTCTAAAAGGACACAATCTACTGTCATCTCAATGTAATGTGAAAGAATAACCACACAGCTGCATGACTCTGCATTTCTGTTTGGATCCAACCTCACGTCTAAATAATGTGACCGCTTTTGTGGCTTTGTGTGCTTCTCTACAAGGGAGAACAAACAGGCAATTCAGTGTTACCTTATTTCTTTACAGTGAGTGCACACACTGAAAGGCAAACACAAGCAGCTAAGTCAGAGTCATAGAGCTGGAGCTCCCTCTATGGGCGACAGGTGACACGTGCGCCCTGCTGGACTGCATCCCAGTGACTTCACAGCTTGTCAGCTCTTTTGATAATTAAATCCTGACCTCAGCTGTTTCCTTTTTTTTCCCCCTTACAGTCGTGTAAGTGTGAATGTAGATCTGATGTCTCTAATTATCGTTGGAATAACACCCGGTCCCTGGATGGCTGCAAATCAGCAGGGCTTTAGGGCAAATTAAAAGCTGAATTTTCTCAAAAATAAAAATCTCAATTGCTATTCACTGTCAGACCTAAAGAAATTGTGAAATTTTGAAAAATTCAGTTTGAAAAGTCCGGTCAAAGCGAAGCTGTTAAGAGCTGATGTTGGAAAGGTTCTGCGGCTGTGCCTTTGCAGGATCAAGTAGGTGGAGGGATAACACACTTCCAGCCTTTCTGAGCGCTCAGAAGGGAGGCTTATAGGCAACGCTGAGTGGGCAGGAAGAAGCCTTACAGGTGGGCGCCAAAGTGACTGGGTTTCATTTTACAGAAGTGGCAAAAACAGACAAAGGAGAGTCTTGCACGAGGCTGAGTAGGATGGCTGCTGAATAATGTGCCTCCGGAGGAAAGCAGTAGTGTTTATTCCTGAAGATGATGTGTCTGTGTGAGTGTGCGTGTGTGTGTGTGCAGCGTCTTTTTTTGCTTATTCAAGCTCCTCTTCTTCAAACTCCTCCAGCCTGGCCATCAGTCTTGTTTGCATCTGGTTGATGTCAGATGTGTAGTTCACCTCCAGCCTGTAACGGAGCAGCTTCACGTCAATATTATGGGAGGAGAAGAGGTAGCTCAAAACACTTCAAAACCGTAAACATCCGGCGTTTCTACAAGGCGGACCTTTTTTTCCTCAGCTGCAATATCAAATTAAAAAAAAAAAAAAAAAAAAAGCTAGTTTTATCACAAAGTCTGCTATCATTTCAATCTCAGACGTTCCAAAGATGAATAAAAGGTTCTGTTTCCTTTTTGATAAGATTGAGATGAACATTTTACAACATCAACCTATGAACAAGATGTCAGAGGAAGACAGAGGCGGAGCGGATTCACTGCAGGATGAAACACAAAGAAAAGGTCTGCCTCGCTGTTTAGACAGCAGTTAAAGACCTCTGCATATCATCCAGTGAGATGCAGCTGCCAGGAAGCTCTTGTCGAAAGGAACTCCAGCTACACGATGTGCTCATTCGTTAACTTTATGCTTTGTTTATGCAGAATGCTTCCCCTCCTAAAACCAAACGTGTTTTTTTTTTAATTTATTTTAAATGTGGGCCCATCTGTATTTATCGTCTTGGAAAAAAGTGTTTCCTTCTCAATGTGAGTTTGTCGACTCTGCTGGACCGAATCTGACTTTGAACTGACCTGGGTGTTATCCCTATGTTCAGGTTGCTACTGGAGACAGGAGTTTGAGCTTTCCTCAACTGGAACTCGGCTGAGATCATCTCTGGCGTCAGCTGGATTCCCGGACCTTCACACCTGCAACACAGTTTTACATGAATGACATCATGGGTGGAGGGGAAAAGGGAGGGGCTCACCTGGAGGCGGTGTGGTGTGTAAACAACGATGTGAGGGGCTTACGAGGTCTCTGTTAGCTGCAAATGATAATCATTGGGGGGGCCAGGGAGAAGAGGAGGGGCAGAGAGAGGAAGGATGTCTGTGTCGTAGTCGACAGACCTGCAGGAGAAACATGCAAATATATAATAATCCTGTGAAAATGGATGTCTAAAATCTCACTCTGCACAGAAGCTGTGGGATTTGTCGTTTCGTCAGGAGTCTGTGCAACACAAAGAACGGCATTTCTGCAGGTTTCACCCACTCAAATTTCAAAACTGTTGAAGACCATTACAAATGAAATTTAAGACCTCTATTGAGACAAATGTACAAAAGAAAATTGTATATTAGTGCATATATATTATGCACTAATATATTCTTTATTTGAAGGGGGTTGAATAAGACTGACATAACACATGTCATGAACATGAATAAGCCTTCATGAATAGTTATGACTGTTGTCATAAAACGTCATTCAGTAAATTATGACACTTTTAATACAAAGTTGACATTATTCAAAATGTCTTTGTTATGACAACTTGGCATTAACCAAGAAATCATTACTGATATAAATTTGTTATAAAAGTATTACTGATTGCACTGTTATTAAAGGTAAAGTTTAAAAGGCGAGTTAAAAACATTGTGAACCCTCATTTCTTCCTAATCGGCATTGAACTGTTCAGTTTGGTACCTAAAGCAAGAGCCTCCATCATGCTGGATGAGTGTAAATCACACTGTAAATCACACGCTGTTGCTATCTGGAGAACGGTCAGATGAAGAAAGTGTTTGCACAGAATAGCGTGCAAAAGGAGAACAGGACAAACCAGAGCCGTGTTTGCTAACACGCTACATCAAATATCACTTCCTTCCTGTCTTTTTAGGCTGAAAACTGAATAAATCATTATTTCTCCATGTTAGCCTCCATACAGACTGACCCAGATTCTTTAATAGACACACTTGAGCTTAAGATGAACAACAGCACTACAAAAAGAGGAATGAATTCATCTCTCCTTCCATCGAGATTTAATTTATAGACTTTAAATAACATGTCTGAAAATTGAGATTCAACTTATAGTGTATAAGGCTGTCCTAGCATTCTCTCTCTGACTCTATGAATGTGTTATGAGTAATGGTGGATATATTACAAGCAGACAATCTGACATTCAGCGACCTGGCAGGAGGTGGAGTATGTTGGACTCCTCCATTACATATTAATACGGGACAACCGTGATGAGCTGTGTTGTCTGTAATGCAGTGTGCCAGATGATGGAACGAACACCGAAGCTGGGACTACAACGAAGGATGTGGAGGGTTACAGCCTCTCCAGCGGCATAAACATGAGAGTTAAAACATGTCTGAAACATGACATGTAAGACATCTCACTTCAACAATTGTTAAGATGATATTAGCTATGAAAATATCTCTAATTATGCTCGTGTAAACAGAGGAATTCCTCTAAAAGCGGGAAGCTTGTATTGCGTAAACAAAAAATGTAGGACTTCAAGTGGAGCCTTGGTTTTTCGCGTGAGAAATATGCAATATTTGTTTACTTTTTGTTACGGCTGAATTTGGTTTTTGGTTCTTGTTTTCAAATCGGAGGACGAGGCAGAAGCAGAATAAGTTGATGCTGAGATTACCCAGCATTCTTTAGGTAAAAAGGCTATTTTAACCTTCTGGTTAAAATGACAGCACTCGGCACATACCTACGAGGAGAGCTCATATTGGTGACTGGGAGGAAGACCTGTTTTATGTTCATGCTGGTTGCTTCCTGTTGTTAGGAAAGAAAAAAAAAAGATGAAACTGAATAATTTTAGAAAAAAAAAGCTATATTTTTCCCTTATTCATGAGTTGAAAATGGAGATTGGGTCCACAGAAAAATAAAAAAAGGACATCAAAAGAAACATAATTGCTAATTCCAGTTCTTCTGTCACATTAAATTCCAATAAAATGTATTGTATTGTTGTAATCTGAGAAAAAAGAAAGAAAATTACCTGGTAGTGAAGAAAGTGTGCCTGTGGAGTTAGTGGCATTAAGCCAGATCTGTTGCTCTCACAGAGTGCAAACCTACACAAACCATAATAATCGAATGTAAGAAGCTTTAAGAAAAATGAAAACGACAGTGTAAGTTTGAGAGGCTGTGTTTACTTGGGCAGAGCACAGAGGTGAACCTCCTTGTCGCTCTCCAGGTACTTGGGCTGCAGTTTAAAGGTCTGAAGGCCCGGGGTCGGGTTCTAAATCAAAATGTCAGTAAATAAATAATCAGCCGGATGTGCTTCCTGTACGAATGGATGTGAAGTCACAACAAATCCCATCCGTACAAAGATTCTGAGAGGGTTTGCATTGAAAGGCCTGATGAGAGTTTCAGGAGGCGTGAAGGAGAGTCCAGCAGTCTTCATGTCCATCATTCTGTCTCCCTCTTCGACTGGACCCTGCACTTCCTAAAAGGGAGATAATAAATATGACAGACATACTGACGCGCATATTGAGTCTGACATACATTTTTCTTACATTACGGTGCGTCGTCGTTGCCGGCGGTGCAGCACGAAGAGGTCTGGCCAGCGTAGTGGGATAATAGGAGCTAAACGCGTCCCAGGCAGAAGGGGGTTGGTAACCCATCAGCTTGTAGTGCTGGGGAACCTGGACAGCAGCAACGTTAGCATGGTTAGATTACCTGAATCTTAGAAAAAAGTGAATGCATTTTTACCTTCACATCGTCTCAAAAAAAAAAAAAAATAAATAAACCTTATATTTACTCAAAGACAATCATTTTGTAGATTAGAAGCACAGTAAATCATTCTGGCTGCATGTTGCTATCAGAGCCTCCTGCCATATGTTATTTCAAATGCTCCACATGAACTCTGCTTTCTTTAATATCACTTCCTAGATGCACAGTCCTTCAGCACATCATATCACTTCCTCATATTATCCACACCTGCAGAAACAATCAACTTCTACGTGGTTCTTTATGCTGCTTTTCCCGCGTGTAAAACAAAGCAGCCACTTTGTACGTTCAGTCAGTATGAATGTGGTTGGATTTTCTGTTTTATAGTCTTCTTCTGTTTTCAAATCTAAGCAGGAAGGTTGTACCTAAAATATTCCCTAGCGTACCAGACAATTAATGGGTCATTAAATACTAATGAGGGAAGAACATTTATTTTTGTGAAGGATGAAAAGGTGAATAGTTGGTAAAGGCCACCTGGAGACGGTGCGGACATGCTCTCTGCTGGGTTTCCTTCTCAGTGCTCCTGTCTACAGGCATAACTGTTAAGCTAGCCGCTGATGCTAAGATAATGTGAGTGTGGGAGCATATGGCTGTCTGTCTCAGTAAAGAACTCACAACCTGACCGGTGTGTTCATTGCCTTTTGGCAAATGTCAGCTGGAAAAAATAGGATGGCGATATAATGCTGCTGTAAAAAATTAATATAGACAGGGTTCCTGCACATACTTCAGATTTCTAGAGTTTTCTATAATCAACAAAGAAATAAGCTTATATTTCTACTTTGGTCAGGTTTTAAATTTGGATGAGTGGATTACTAAAAATATGGAAAAAGGAACACATTTTGGAATTATAATATTTTTCCTTCACTTACATTTTCTTCCTTATCTAGACCTGGAAACCGCTCCAGACCCTTTCTATCATCTTACTATTGAATTAGAATCCAACACGCTGCTGGTTACATATCCGGTGATATATGAGCGCCAGGTGCTTTAATAGGTGCTGACCTGGAGGTTGAAGAAAGGAATGTGTGCTGTCACGGTCACGTCGATAGGATCCACAGGCAGAGCCACAAAATTCCTAAGAGCCTTGAAATATCAAGAAGACAAATGGACATTTTTATTCAACTCAACTCTGAGGTCCAGAACTCTGCAGGGCGTCTGAATCAAAGATTTAATCAGAGCACCAGCATCCCAGCTTCCTAGCTGATTCCATTGTTGGATCAATTATGTTTCCCACAGGAAGTAATGGATGAAAATTGCCTCATTTCTTCATGTCAAACTGTTTAATTGAAAATGTACTGGAAAAAAAGAAGAAGAAAAGCGTATTACATTATGCAGAGTTTAAAGGCGTTCTCACCGTGGAATTGTCCTCATGGGGGGAATTTGGGAAAAATGACGGCAACACATCGTCTGGAGATATGACACTTGCTCTGTCCTTAGCTAAGAAACAAAAAGATTAGCTGTAGATGCAGCATGTCATCCTGACGTTTTTTTACCTGAATAGTACAGATGATTCAAACCGTTCCCCTTCGACGAATCCTTCTTTATACTGTCCACCAGTTTCTTTAAAGAGGCCAGTCTGCGCTGCATGCGGCATTGGATCACCACCTGGAAGGCAGACGCGAGCCTGTGACCGATTTGCCACAACTTCAAACTTCATGCTGACTCTTAATTATTTTCTGACATTCAAGACTTTTAGCTTCCTTCCTTTCTCCATAACAAGCTTCTAATGAGGTCCGGCGGACTCGGATCAGTTTCATTCTGCAAACTGAAACCTTTGTGAAATTAAAAAAGTGGCTCGCCAGCAGCAATGAATCATCTTAGTTTCATCGAGTTTTCCCTTCGCTTATCTTATATTGTAGACGCCACATAAAGAGGTCTGCTTATATGCTAGAGTAATTAATATAAATAAGAACACTAATGGATCCTGACTGAACCTAAAGCCAATTAGAAATTTCCACCTGACTGAGCTGAAAGTGACAGGGCTGCAGGGGGGCTAACCCTCTAATGAGGCACACAGAGAAAATGACATCCGCCTTCATTCATTTAAACCGACTTTTTTCTTTTTTTTCTTTGTCCTGGCATAAAAATTTACAGAGAGATATTATCCACTAACAATACCACACAGTCCACTCCTGATTTTTGCACTTATACCTTCCGAGCTGCCTGCTGGAAAAGTGTGAGGGCTCTTTGTTTCAGGTCCCAGGAAATACTGGTGTACGACTGGAAGTCCGGTACTTCATCTTGATTCTGGAAAGGATTGGGGAAAACTTTACTAGAAGAACAGCTTAAGGACTCAGATCTGATTGGTCACAGTGGAAAAAGTATGAATATAATGGAATGGATAAATAGAGATGCACCGATCAGATATCAATATCTATATTGGTACCGATGTCGAAAAAAAAAAAAAAATCTTTTTTATTTTTTACATGTTTGAGAAACTTTGTGAAGTTTTTGGTGTATTTAAGTATACAGTGCTTGTGCAGAGTTCTCAAATGAATGTGTATAAATTCAGTACATTTATATTTGTGTGTTTAAAAAAAAAGAAATGTTTTAAATCAATTCAGTGAAGCTTCAGATATCTGTATCGGTATCGGTCGTGAAAAAAGTGGATCGGTGCATCCTTCTAAACAACCAGGTTACTCCCCCACCTTGTTTTCAGTTGTTCTAATGTTTCAATTTAAAATGTTTAATTTTAACATAACAAACAAAGAGAAGCTAAAGGATGACCCATTCGTTATCTCGAAGCATCCGTTTCGATGACAGTTGGGTCTGCTCGGGAGCGAAGTCTTCATCTTGCCTCTCGTCTTTTTTTTTTACCTTTAACACAATCAGCACATGATTACTATTAGCATTCCGTCTATAAAACTACAATTAAAGTGTAATAAACGGTTTAGACTACAAATAACTCTCTCTTTTCCACACGCATTACTTGATTCTGTCTGATTTGAAAGAAAAATGTAAGAATTGTGTAAATAAAAAGTGAGTTTTAGCATATAGCAAATAAAGCAGATGTTTCTGGGGGGGATTTACACAACATTTCAGCATTTGGTTATTGCAAAAGCACTTAAAAGAAAGGATTTCAACATATTTCTCTGCTACATCAAGCCTAAAATCTTTTGGCTGATGAGGAAATGTTCTCCTTGTCACAGGAAATAAGGCAGCCTAATTTAGTGATTTAATATTCCCAGGTGGTAAAACTCTTCCTGGAAGATTACAAAACTGTACGTCTGCATAAATGTTTGTGTTCTGGCCTTTAATCAGCATTTCATTCCTCCCATAAAAACAAGAGTTCCCATAAAATATAGAAGTAACGTGCTGTGATATGAGGCTGTAAAACAGACAACACTCCCTGTGCATGTGCATGTGTGTGTGTGTGTGTGTGTGTGAGTGGATTACAGCATCAGCGATGAGATGAGAAAGGAAGGGCTGTTAAGCTTCAGCCGTACAAAAACTCGTATTTCAATACTGAACTGGCTTTGGCCGACCTTGCCTTGTTTCTATGGTTACTAAATAAAATCAATCACTTAAAAGCGGAAGCATTTTTCACGATGATAAAGAGCATATTCAACAGAGAAAAACATTGAAAACATAAAGATTAAATTGACTTTTAATGGGAGTAATTTACACAACTGAAACAAAATGTTGGATTTAAAATATTATTTTCAAAATTTTAATTAAAGATCATTCATATATCAAACTGTATGGTGTTATTTGATGCCACTAATTATGCCCAACTGATTTGAACCGGAGACTGCAGAAAATGTGATCATTCAGGGAAGCAGAAAACAAATGCATGCCACACTTTTCAGATTTTTTTGTTTTTGGTAAAAATATTGAAAATTATGAGATCTTTTCCTTCTGCTTCCTAAGAAGACCAAGAGCAAAACAATGTGAAATCAAACAAAAGAATTGCTGTGATTACAGTAAAGACCCTAAACATCCAGATACCACGTGTCAAAAGTGCCCTAGTTAAAGTTCAGACCTAGTTTAATTAAAAATCAAACCTGAGAGTTGTTGTTTTCAGAATATTTTCAAATCTATGTATAATTTTACTTCTCTCTTCTTCTATAATGACACACAGGTCACTCACATAAAATCCCTTTAAATAATTTAAAATTTGCGGTAATGACGTGACGAAATGTAAAAAAAGTTCAATGCTATAAATAATTAGTGTACTTTCTCACATACTGTTTACTGCTGAAACTCACCATGTATTCCTGCAGAGCCGTCTCTCTCTCCTCCAGTATCTGCTTCTGCCTTTTCTTCGACATTGGCTCCTCACCTAGATGAACTTGGCTGATTGCAACACACAGAAGAAATGGCCACATGTGGAGGAAAAAGTACAAACAACAGCGTGGAGAAATGTGCAAATGTAGAGATTTTCTGAAACCCTTTTCTTAGTTCTATTGAGGTTTATTAAGAAAGACTTCACCAACCCAGCAAATCGACACAGCATTTAAGATGAAATCCAGTTTTGGAGTTTTACCTACCATTTGATATAGTTGTATTGCTCCTCCTCAGTAACCTGCTGAACCTTTTTCATGAAGACAGCCTCTTTCACCTGATTGTTTAGATTTCCTTTCTTACCGCCGCAGGAAAAGGCTGAAGTTGCGTTAGTGCCGAGGACATAAAGCAAGAGACATCGGTTACAGTTTAATGGAAGCAAATTGAGTTATAAGAGACAGAACAATTGTTTAAAGGGTCACAGCCATGTCAGGTTTAGGAGTAAAATCATTGGGGTTGCAGTTTAGGTCTTCTGAATCTGGTTTACTCGTGTCTTTGATGAGAATTTTCGCCATCCCTCCAGGGCTACAGACATCCATGGGAGATGGTTGGGGAACATCCGCCTCATTTTTTACTGCCTAGAGAGAAGAAACAGCACAACAAATCTTGTCAAGACAAAGAAATGTATAGATCAAAAAATTAAATAATAAAGAGAAAAATGTACTAAATAGGAACCTTTAATTTGTCGGCCTCCTTGACTGAGGTCTGCTTGCTTTTACGTCCAGAAGATGGTAGGGAAGGACGAGCTCCGTCTCCTACGGGGGCTTCAAATCTGACATGTGGTGTTCTAACAAAAATATACATAAAAACAAAAAAAACAAAGCTGGAGTCTAAAGGTTTGAATAATAAAAATAAGTAAGGCAACTTAATAAGCAACTTTATTGGATTTAAGAGACAAACATGGTTGGCAAAAGTTGCAGTGTCTTGTTGGAGAATCCGTGTTCACTCATCTTTACAACTTAAATGTATTTTGCATTTTTATTGACTTTTCAGTCCATTTTTATTGCATAAATACCAACACTCACTTTAAATTTACAGATGATATTTTCACTTTTATAAGTTATAAGAATTATTAATGCCAGCTGTTCAAACAGGTCAAACAAGTTGCAAACAGAGCAGAAAATCTCAAATTAAACAAATATTACAAACTGAATGTATGAATTTTAGGAGCTGTCAACTATTTTGACAAACTGAGATGGAAAAAAAAAAAAAAATTCAATTCAATATGAGTTGCATAATCAGTCCAGCGTGACAAAATATTCAGATAAATCATTAAACATGGAGCTGCATTACATCAGAAAAACACTGGATGATTTATTCTCTAAATATTGCAATGTCGATACTGATTATGATTAATTCACCTCTTTATGGCTTATTCTCCATTTTCCTTTATGAAACAACGTCTGATAAAGTATTATAATCCAACAGCCTCCTTGAAAAATTGATCGCAGATTTATTACATAGTGTCAGCAGAGTGTCGTACGAGCCTGATTACATTAATGCAAAAATGCAGAACTGAATCACGGTGATTAAAATATGACTGGATAATCTTTAGTTTGTTGTAAAAACATCTTTATCCATGTCAGATAAGTCATTCTGGAGAGACACCAAACAGGCAGAATCAAACATTGATTCAGCCTCAAGGTCTAGATATTTATTTTTTGGGGTATTTCACATGCACATGTCTTATCTATCATTTGGTTCCACTGTGGGAAACAACAAACATAGACAGAGAGACGGAGGGGGGGGGGGGGTTTTATGCTAAACATCCATTAAGAAGTATTATCTATTCTGATATCACTGCAGCAGCTAGCACGCTTTTTTTTTCTCTCCCAATGAATTATTAACTTTTGGGGAAGATAACAGCAGACAGTGAGGTGGAAGAAGCTACTGCTGCGTGATGGATGGCACCATCATTCTCATGGGAGCAGAATTAAACATTAGGTTTTTTATGCTAGCTGGAGAAATGAATGGGATGCTCTAATCAGGCACACAAAGCCATTTGCGGAGAATCTGTGTTTTCGCCTCAGACTTGTCTTATTGGCAGTTTGCTCTCGGAAAACCTCGAAACGTTTTTATTGTTTCATAAGAGCAACAGAAAAGAAAGAAATCATTTTAACTATTTATGTGGGACATCCAATACTCATGACCACAAGTTTACACAAACACACACACACACACATACACAGAGTAGAAAAACATAAACTAAAAGTTCAACCTCATTATTTCTCAGTGTTTACATCCCAATACTTTGTTGAGAAGTTTGAGATTCTTAACAAATCTCAAACTTTGAGATGCTGTACGTATGCATCGTTTTTTGGTTGCTTTACCTGAGAGGTAAATTGGGCCTGGAGAACCCGGTGATGGTGCACAAGTAGGGCTTGGTGTTGAACTGTGAGACGACCAGTCGGAAGGTGAACTGAGACGTTTCATACTGGAGAGGACAGAACGTCACGGTCAGCAGGACTTCCCCATTGGCTGGTATCACACCTGCAAAATAGGGTTTGCACGTGATCTGAGGCTAACGTCGCTGACTTTATGAAGATACTGACTGTTTGTTTTAGCTACATGCTATGTGCTAGCATTTCTGGTTAAAGTAAAACAGATTTATTTGAAGGTTGCTTAGTGCTAAACTAAGCAACCTTAGTTGCTTAGTTTAGCACTAAGCTAAACTAAGCTTAGTTTAGCTTAGAGATTTGTTCACAGACATTGGAGTCTGAAAAATCTCTAACATTCTCTCTTATTCTTTCTTTTTTTATTATTTAAACTGGTTCGATGCCAAAGAAAAAGATAAAAAGGTTATGTCTTTATTATACAAAGTATGCATCAAATACATTCACCACTCTGTACTTTTGGTCTTTTTCAGATACAAAAAGGATTTTTGTATTCGCCGCGCATTGCCTAGCGCCAGCCTTCAGGGCTTTTTGTACCCAGTATGAAACCCAATAATTTCAAGTTACTTTCTGTAATATCTTCATATTATTTAATAATGTGGTAATTTGACTCAGTTAAATAAAATCTACCAGCCTGAGAAAACTCATATTTTGGTTTGATCAATTAAAATGAGCTGGCACCAACACGGATCTGAACTACAATTAACGCAAATAGGGAGTAATATGAAAACTTTTTGTGAGATTTGAGAATGTTTATTAATTTTTCACTCCATAATTCATCAAAAGAACTGAATTTCCAAGGGAAATAAATTGATTTAATATACTTATAATTATGGAAATAAAACGGATGTGGACTTGGGTAAAATTGTAACGTGTTTTACATATTTGTTAGTTTAATCAGCGACTCTAGCTTTCCTTTAGTCAGTTTGTGTTGATGCATGTGTCCTGTTTGTTTCTGTTTTGCTCTGTATTGACCTGGCAACATGTCCAGGGTGTACCTGCAATGCATAAGTGGATTTAGAAGATGATAAAGAGAGATTCTTGCTTTAAAGTCAATTTTTATCATGCTACCTTCCTGTCTCCCGTCTATTTAGGGATTGAAGAAGATAGTGAAAACTGAACCATAAGGTCAACCTACCACTATTGTGTGTTTTCAAGCAGTGCTGTTATCTGTATAAGGAGAAAAGAGGGAGCCCATATCGGCATGTCCAAAAAAAAAGAAAAAAAAAACTGAAACTCATTTGTATCTTTCTTCTTCTCGTTCCAACAGTTAAGCCAGCTGTAATCCGGATCCCAAGTGCTTTTTCCGCCATCTGTTGTGATGCTTTCCAGACAACCGATTGCTGCTGTGTGGCAGCGTGTGGAAACTGGAGGGACCCTTCAAGTCCTGCAAATGCTTATATAATACACAACACATGGCTCTGAAGATTGGGGAAAGCAATGAAAGCACTTGCTTTGTCTAGTGGCTGGATTCTAAATCTGGAGGGCTAAAAGTAAGTTAAAGTTAAAAATAAACTTTCATTACTATAGCCACAAACTCCAATGTGTTTTGCTGTTTTTTGTTGTTGTTGTTGTTTTGTTTTTTTTTGGACAGATCAGCATAAGATAAGAAGAGTGATAGTTTTCTTCCACAGATAATTAAAAGTGTGGTGTTCGTATTTTTCATTATTTCCTTTTGATCGTCTTTGAGATGAAATTAAGCAATTTTACACATCTTTACCTGTGACGGGGTGGATGGAGTAGGCATCATGTGGCTGAATAATGCACACCTGAAACTCAAAGTCAACTGGACAGCTGCATCTCAGGGGAATTACATGATCAACACTGGAGACAGGGAAGAAGAAAAAGAAGATTTTAAAACCAAGGTTAGCTGCATTGAAGAATTCAAAGCGATATAGTCCGGGCAGATGGAAGGTAAAAAAAAAAAAAAAAACGTTCCACACACACCTTTGTCCGAGCGGTATGGCGGAGAGGTCGATGTGAGTGGGGATGTGCAGGTCACTGATGACAGGATAAGCATGGACTGGAATTAACAGGTTCTCTTCATCCTTAAAAGGAGAGGAGTTGGAAAACGCTGAGGTGAAAGAAGTGTGACGAAGGTCGACCTTAACAAGACGCTAACCTTGCAGTGAACACGGATGCAGTCGCTAAAGTAACGCCAATCATCTGGGCAGAAGGCAACGTTCACAGTGTAGGCGAGGCCGGGGATGAGCCGGTCCTTAGCACACACAAGGAGGCGAGAGTCAACACTGACTGGACTCAAGAACAAGTGATTCAGGGTAGATTCAGGTCAAGGGATACCTTTTTGGTGTAAGTTGTCTGGAAGTGCTTTGTTAGGGTTGGAATTATATGAATATTCACCGGTGCATTTGAAATGTTGATTAGATTCTGATGGAGAAAAAGAGCTTTCATCAAGTCCTGAGGACCATTTGAGCTTCACCAACTCACAAATCGGTGTTTTTGTCTGGACCGGAGTTATCCTCACCACGGTCTTGGTGTAACTCTTCCCAAGCTCAAAGCCGCTAAAGTGAAGCTCAGCGGGTTCTGCTTCGATGTGACTGTTAACTTTCAGTCTGGCGTAGATTTCTTAAAGAGAACATGAAGACATGATGGGAAAATCAAATAATTAAAGCAGCGCATCAGAGAGACAGGGTTGATGCACGCACTTGAATCCAACAGATGATTTGGGAGGACTTTGCTCTTGGTCTCCTCCACCAGCTGGCTCAGGGGCAGAGACCTCTCTTTCTTCTGGATCTCCGATTGCGTCTGCGGGACAGGCGGGGCCACCTCCATCCTGGAGAAAGGTAAGCTCTGCCTCCTCATGAGAGGGATGGCAGAAGGCTGGAGGGGAGTCAAGGAGACTGCTGTGTGTTGAGAAATAATAATACTGGCAAACCTAGAAATAAGCGATGAGAAGACAGAAAAAGGCAGTATTTATTCACATAGGATCAAATTTATTAGTACTACTATTATTTCTGTTGTTGCATGTTTTCTATGTTTCAGGAGAGAAAATTCAGACTTATTTCTGCAGAAGTCAAAATCCACTAGGAAGGAAGGAAAAAAGGATGGAATGGTGAAAGGATGGAAGGAAGAAAAGAAGAAGTAACTGTTTTAACCAAAACCACTGTTACACATGGGGTTAGTGTTGCCATTTCA